TGTGAGGTCTCAGTTGGAGTCATGCATCGTGTGTGTGTGTCCCCGTAGGGGGTGGTTGTAAGGCAAATACGCTAGATCTAAATTCTGCAGTGAGTGGATTTAAATTGCTCCTAATGAGCTTCTTCCTCGTTTACTTAAAGATGTAAGGCTGGTCACAATGGGGAGGAACTTATGAGTAACATCACACACTCCAATACAACTTTGCTTATGTGGCACATATTTAATGAAGAGAGAAGTGCTTGTGGTAACTAGCTAAGTTACCGGAACATCACACACTCCAAGAAACAATGAGTCTATAACCTAATAAATACATCATTGCATGACACTACATAGACGTTCCTACCCACTATGGAGGTAGTAACATAGTCTAGGGAAGTGTGTAAGTTACTAGCTTATGTTCTTGCCCATTGTGACCAGCCTAAGTGTTATCACCAATGAATAAAGAGGGAGTTTTAGTTGTCAAATAAAAAAGTGCCTAGAACTAATCTAGATGAGATATAATTTGGTCTCATTCACTTTGAAAATAAGAATAGTTACAACCTACGTCAGCACACGCATCTTATAGCATCACATCCAATGGCTATAAAAGGTGAATGAGACCAAATTATATCTCATCTAGATGAGTTCTAGCAAAACTGAAAAAAAAAGACAAATGGTTTCTTATATATAGAAATTGGTGAAGGAGCTTTCTTTTTCAAAAGAAAAATGTTATGGTGCACGACACAAAGAAGTCATTATCTCATTTTTTTTATGTTATCAATTGCAGGTTCTTCTCTTTGCAGTGAAGTGATACTTTTTCTTGCATACTGACATTATATCTGTAATTCAAATATCCCTCCTTTGAAGCTCTCATCTCTATGGATATAGCAAGGAGCGCCTTGCTATATCCATAGAGATGAGAGCTTCATAGGATACCAAATCTGGATGTGTTAGTTCCTTTCCAAAGATGCATTTTCAGCCTAGTGAAAGAAACAGAAAGTACACTCACAATCTCTAGCCTTTGTATCTCAGCGAGAAGTAGATGAACATCAACAGGTTCAGCACGCTGAGACCAGCCATCATCCAGAAGAAGTAATCGAGGTGGCCTTCGTTGAGGTCATCCGGGATCCACCCGGGTGCGCCGCCACGCCCCGTCGCCGACGCGACCACGCCCAGCACGGCGGAGTTGAGGTAGTTCCCGGCCGAGATGGCGAGCTGGGCGAGCGCCGCGCCCATGCTCTTCATGGACTCCGGGGACTCGTCGTAGAAGAACTCCATGATGCCGACGCTGGTGAACACCTCGGCCACGCCCAGCACGACATAGGACGGAGTCTGCCACATGATGTTCACCCTCTGGCCGGCTCTGGCCGCCGCCAACCGCCTCATCTCGACCGACGCGGAGTAGGCCATGCCAAGCACGGACAGCGCGAGGCCGACGCCGAGGCGCTGCAGCTGCGAGAGGCCCCGGTCCCTCCCGGTGGCACGCCGCACGAGCGGCACCAGCACGAGGTCGTAGACGGGGATGAAGGCCGCGACAGCGAGGATGTCGAACGTCGAGAGGGAGGCCGGCGGGACCGTGAACCGGCCGACGTGTTGGTCCATGGCCATGCCCTGCTCGATCAGGGTCGACGACATCTGAGCGGTGACCGCGAAGAAGAAGAGCAGAGACGCCCAGACGGGGAACACCCGCAGCAGCATCTTCAGCTCCTCGACCTGCGACACCGTGCACGTCCTCCATGGGTCCATCGTCTCCACAGCCTTGCCGGAAGATGGTGGTACTACAATGGCGGCCTTGTCAAGGAACCTGAACTGACTGGTACGCTCAATGCTGCAATTCACCTGACTCGGCGACAGTTCTTCCTCATGCAGCAGCAGGGCCGAGTCATCATCAGGCAACTTGAGACGATAATTCCTTGCGGCGGCGACGACTACCTGTGACAACCTCTTCAGAGGGCTTCCACCCAGTTTCTTGTACCTGTAAACCTTCCTGCCGGAGACGAACACGACGAGCCCGAAGCCCATGAACACCATCGGGATCGCGTACCCGACTCCCCACCCGACATTGTCCTGCACCCACACAAGCACGGTGGTCGACAGCAGGGAGCCGACGTTAACCAGAAAGTAGTACCAGTTGAAGAAGGAGCCCTTGGTCACCCGCTCCACCGGGTCAGCGCTGTCGAACTGGTCCGCCCCGAGGGCCGACGTGCACGGCTTGATGCCGCCGGTCCCCAGGGCGACGAGGTAGAGCCCTAGGTAGACCGCAGCACGCTGGATTTCGATGGTGCTGAAAGATGGCATCAGCACCGGGAGCGACGCTGACAGTGTCATAACCAGCATCCCCTGTCAGCACAAGAGAACTTATTTTCAGAAACACTAATTTTGGAGCCAACAAATTTCTTCCTTGATGTATGTGAAGAAAAACTTACAATGGTGTAGACCGAGAGGAAGACTACTATTGCCCGGTATCTCCCCCAGTATGTGTCGGCCAAGAAGGCTCCGAGAAGCGGTGTGAAGAAGCAACTGCCGATCCAAGTCGACACGTTCCTCGCGGCGTCGACATTGCTCTCGTGCAGCACGCCCGTGAGGTAGGTAACCAAATTCTTTTGGATCCCAAAGAAACAGATTCCCTCGGTGAATTCAGCACCTAATGTGAATGTGACTTGCAGGAGTCAACAGAGAGTAGTTTGGAAGGACCAGTGCAGGTGGGTACATGAGGAAGATTGTGTGGGCATTTTGCCAGTACCCAAAATGAAGTAGCATGCTCTCCAGTTCCCTGTGCTACGCCTGCTAGCAGGCTGCTTGTTGATATCAACTGTTCCATCACTTGTATATTGTGAACCTTCATCCTGAAGAACAGGACCAAACAAAAGATTCAACGATGCAAAGTGTAAGTTCTGTCGTTTTAATTTTTGTGAAGTGCTTGAAGTTCAAGCGGCTCTGTTCTTTCAACACAGAGGGGGCTCCTTCCTTGGTGTGAATAACAATTAAATAACACGAAGATCAGCATTATGTATCCGAATGAAGAAATACATTGTATTCAGAGGGAAAACTTTATTCATTATCCTCAGCAATGTAGGAAGTGTACAAAGCATCAGCAACGCCCCTGTGCTACCAAAATCGATCTTGTTTTGATTTTGCAGTGGACAAATTTTGAGGTTTTCGGTTCATATAGAGTTGAGGCTTTTGTATTGTAAAATGAAAATTACTAGCTGTAGGGATCACGCTTTGCGTGCTAAAGAGAAGAAATATGACCTGAGAGTGAATCAGTAGTGGCTTCTCCTCATCTGCTGCTGCTTCCATGTGAGCCACAGACGTTGGTGCTCGGCAGTAATACTTGTGAAGCAGCAGAGGAGTACGACGATAGATAGAATGCAAATATGGTGACTCAACTTCCTATACATACATACATCAGTTCTTGCCTGGATTGCACTCTCATGGAATTTAGCAACTTTGCTTCGACAGCGGAAAGCATGCGCCGCCGCTTCTTAAAGAGAACGTTTCATCTGAAGAGAAATGTAAAAAATTTAAATACATTTGGCAAGAACAGTTGAGAAAGAGAGCTGAATACCTACCTGATAGAGGAGGAGATGTACTCGCGCTGTGGATGGAGCACAGGATGGGAGAGATTCGGAGGCCCTCTTCCTCCGTGGCTGAATCTGATCTGATTGCCGCCGGCCGGGGCAGCAGCTGGTCTGTGCAGCTCCAGTTAATTAGCAGTTAAGAGTAGTGAGCGAGCTGCCATGGTGTAGGTAGGTCGAGGTGTCACATACAGGGCCACTCGTCTTACCAACCAACGACCCAACATATCCCAATCAATGGCTCACCTCCTTGAGCGTCGTCGTATCCATGAGTTTGGAAGAAAATATAACGATGCGGACAGGACAAATGCCGAATTTACGTCAGGCATATTTCCACTTAATAATAACACCATGAATTAACGTCCGTACAGATGATGTGGCCAGACAGAGAGAAACAGCAACACTGCAGGCACTATAACAAGGTTCAGGTTCAGGCCCAACATCTCATCCAAACACAAAAGCCTTTCTGCTAAAACTAAATAAAGTGAGACGCGAGCGAATGGAAATCGTGCAGTCAGGGTGGGGGCACACGACACCGATTTCCGTTACCGATAACGGAGCAACGAACCAGAAACCGTATTGCTTAGTCACACCTGACAACCCACAAATTCAAGTACCAGCATTGTTGGACCAGAAGATCGAAGGCGAGAAACTAAAAGTAGCAGCACAGACTTATTTAGGAGAAACGCACAAGTCTATAGAGCAAATATCACGACCGGGCACACATCTCAGGCGCCATCCAGGGTGGAAGCTGCTGCGGCGGCGGGGCGCTTCTGGAAACTGAAACCCCCACGATACATGACGATGCATGGTAAGTTTGGTTTCAGTGATAAGTACATGACGATGCATGCTAACTTTGGTTTCGGCATGTCCTCAATTGACATAGACGCGGCAATAGCTTGCCAAACAATTTGATGCATAGGAGCTATCACGCATTTGATCAATTTTCCTTTGTTTTTCCTAAAAATGGCCTTAGCCTACCCCAACTTGTTTGGGACTAAAGGCTTTGTTATTGTTGTTATTGTTGTTTCCTAAAAATGGCCTTGACCAGATTTATTTGTTAACAGAGTTTAGACTCGTGAGAGCAAAACATGTATGACCATTCAGATGCCTCGTGACTCGGCAGGGCTTTAACGAAACGATGATTGATATTGAGTCATAGACTAAAGTTGATGTGTAATTACAGAAGAACATGACAGACGAAGCCGTGATGAGATTGCAAAAACATACTGAGACTGAAGAACGACAAAGGAACTTACAGTCTGAGCGAGAACATGGATCATTGATGCTGATTTGCTTACGACGTACGCCACTCGTACTCAACATCTTCAAAATTTCATGAATTCCCTCGTCAACTTTTCCACATTCAATGTTCACAACCTTAAGGTGCGTGCACACAAAGGATTCTTTTACTGTTTCTTGTGCTCCTGTTGTTCCAATGAGTTACTGCATCATACAACAAATTTAGTAAGATAATAGAATATACATGAAAATTCCTTTTAAATAGAGCAACATATTTGTATAAAGAGGATCGATATACCTCGGTGTTACCCAGCTGAAGTGTGAGCATCTCAAGAACTGGAGAGTGTTGGAGAATGCAAACTAAATCAACAGTCGTGAACCACTCATCGAGAAGCAGAGTCTTTAAGTTGCCAAATATAGGGTGCCGTACAAAATCCCAGCTGTAGATAATCTGCAGAATTTGCAAAAGGAAGAAAAAAGAAGCCTGAGGCCCTAAAAGACAAGATAACTTCAGTTAGTGGGAATTTTGGGTAGGCAAACATTGCACCTTGAGCCCTGGGAATATCAATTCTTTATCCAATTAAACCACTATAGTATTTATTCATTTAGGGTCTTTTTTAGTGAAGTTGGGAGGGCAGGCCCCTACCTAAATTTTATAAAAGCCTACAGTGGGGAAAATACATCACATGTTTCAGCACGATGCACACGGAAGAGAGACAGAAAAATTTAGAGACCTATTGGTGAAGCTAAAACTATAAAAGTACCGAACTGCGGTAATGAAAATAAGCAATTTGTTTATGCAGCTCTATCAGTGGTCAGACGTATTACAAGAAAAACTGTGGGTGGAAAAAGGAAAAAAGACGCAGTAAGATCAAGCATACCTTTTCAGGTTCAGCAATCAACTCCAAATTCACAGCATGGGTGAAGCCATTGAGAAGCACACCCTCATCAACAGGATATGTATGACAACCAGAGCAAGTAACATCACAATCCCCCTCCATGTCAATGTTACAGAACGTGAAATCGAAGCATCCCTTGCCAAGGTGAACATAGGCTGTTACTAGAAATGGCATGTTCCTCCTCCCTTCTTCGCACAGTTCTTGCCCCTGGCCCCGATGGTTTTGGCCCGTCCTTCTATAAAACATTCTGGCCGTCTATCAAACAGGAAATTCTCTCCTTCTTCACACAGTTCCACCAGGGTGTAGCAGATACACAGCGTTTAAACCGTGCCCACATTGTCCTCCTCCCAAAATCTACCTCTGCAACCTCACCTGACGCGTTCAGGCCCATATCCTTGCAAAACTGCCCGGTCAAAGCCATTGCCAAGGTTCTCACCTTGCGACTTCAACCCTTTATCCCACTTCTAGTACATGGTAATCAAACTGGATTCATTCCCGGGAGGAACATTGCCGAAAACTATGTCTTTGCAGCAGATCTTGTCAGTTCTTGCCACTCTCGCAAACGCCCCACCATGATCTTCAAACTCAACTTTAGGAAAGCCTTCGACTTGGTTGCCTGGAACGCCCTCGACAAAATCCTGGATGTCCGTGGCTTCTCCCAAACTTTTCATAACTGGATTCAGAATATGCTCAACACTGGCAAGACTGCCATCCTCCTAAACGGCATCCCAGGTCGATGGATTCCATGTAAGAATGGACTGTGCCAGGGAGACCCGGCCTCCCCCTACCTTTTCTTAATTGTTGCCGATCTACTCCAACAACTTATCCTTCAAAACCCTGATCCTAATCTTCACCATCCCATCTTCACCCACCTGCCCCCTACTATTCTTCAATACGTTGACGATACGTTGATCATTGCTGCTGCCTCCCCCACCGCTGCTACCACACTCAAGAATATACTCCAGCACTTTGCCCAGGCTACTGGCCTTACCATAAACTTCTCCAAAACCACCCTAGCAACGCTGCATACAAATGAAACCCTTGCTGCCAGCATTGCCCTAGCCATGGATTGCACACGTGCCTCCCTTCCTCAAACCTACCTCGGCCTCCCCCTCGCCCCGACCAAACCACCATCCAATGCATTCGCCCCGCTGATTGAACGTACTCGCAAACTTCTCATCGGCTGGCGCGCAAAGCTACTAGACAGGGGCGATCGCCTCATACTCATCTCCGCAGTCCTCGACTCCATTCTTACGTACTTTATGTCTGTTTTTCGGATCCCCAAGAAAACCCTAAAGCTTATTGATTCCCTGAGAAGATCTTTTTTTTGGGCTGGTGAGGACGCTTGCTCGCGAGCCAAATGCCTGATTGCGTGGAAAAACGTATGTTCGCCAAAAAAATTTGGTGGTTTAGGGCTGAAGAACTTACAGGTTCAAAATAACTGTCTACTAATGAAGTTTGCTGTCAAAGCTCTATCATCCACAGAATCACCATGGCTGGACTGGCTAGAACTACAACATCCCAATGCCCTAGTTTCTTCGGGAACACAAACATCCTTTCTATGCCGCACGATTTCGCAACAAATCCCAACCCTACAATCAATCTCCTTCGTTCTGACAAACAGCGGAACACATACATATTTCTGGTTAGATACTTGGCTCACCCCAAAACCCCTAGCTACCACCTACCCACACCTCTTCTCACACTCAACACAAAAGCTGGTAAAAGTGGCTAACATCTTGCGTTTCGGCATTGAAACAAACCTCCGTAATCGTCTCTCCCTCACAGCAGAAACAGAGATGGTTTCGCTTTCGGCTGTTTTGCAGGACTTCGTGCCGTCGCTAGAAGAAGATCAACGTTTCCTCCTTCGGGTCATGCCTTCTCCACCAAGCATGCCTACGGCACCATCATGGCAAGGCCAGAGACGGACCTCAATGCCCCACTCATCTGGAATACCAAGGCTCCTCGCAAGACAAAAATCTTCGCTTGGCTTCTATTCAAAGATCGCCTAAGCACCGCCGTCAATCTTGCCCACAAGAATATAATCCCCTCCGACTTATGCACACGGTGTGCTATGCTACCCGAAAACTCCACTCACCTCTTCATCACATGCCCCCTTGCCAACATAATTTGGCAGCGACTGGGTGTTCTGCCACACGAAGCTGACCTTAATGAACTTTGGGACGCTCCACTGCCTCAACACCTGCCCAAAAATGCATGGCCCCTCATCCTCCTCGCGCTACTCTCAAATATTTGGGCAGCGTGAAATGACATGCTTTTTAGGAATGTCGATCAATGTTCTGTAATAACAATTAGGAACATTCTATCGGACTTGGATCTCTGGTCACACCGTCTTGTTGATACGGGTGACAAGGAGGACGTTTCCTCGTGGCGTTCCTACCTCTCTGCACG